AAATAGTTTTCATTAAAAAAGCAACTGCCTGGCAGACATTCCCACTTTACACTGGTTTGCTTTGAACACTCACACTTGTGCAATTCATCCATGCAAAAGATATCAGTGCAACATTAGTCAAGAACATCCTTTCAAAGGGCAGTCACTCTCTAAGAGAGGATCAGTAGGTTTCTGGCCATATCCAGTTTCCTTTAGCTCAGTCTTGCATTGATAAGGGTCAGCGGGGGGTGGGAGTGGAGGTGGGTGGGGGAATGGGGCAGGGTGCAGGAGGCAGTTATGGTGGTGGGATCTGGTGTGCATTGCTCGCAGCCTCAACGTAGGAGCTGCCAAGGAAAGGGCAACAGCTTCCAGTGGAGGACAGAAGGCTTCATCCATGAATCATAAAAGGGCTGAGGGAAGGTGCTGGAGTTTTAAACTTGGAGGTTTTCAGAAAAATCAGCCAGTGAAAGCAGAAAAGGTTTAACCCTTAAATCAATATAGCAGCATCAACATAGAGTCATAGAGCTGTACAGCATGGAAACAGACCTTTCGGTTCAACTCGTCCATGCTGACCAGGTATTCTAAATCAATCTAGTCCCATTTGCCAGCATTTGGCTCATATCCTTCTAAACCCTTCCAATTCACGTACCCATCCAGATGCCTTTTAAATGATAATCACTACACTATTGATCTACAGTGTGAACATTATGCACAAAGATTGTGATTACAACTGCCCCCATTTCTCCAAAAGTATTTGAGACTTCTGCACCTCACATTAACTGTTATCCCAATAAGACTGCCAGTGGAGCAGTATTGACTATAGATTTTAACGTGACTCCAGTGTTGGGGACGTACTCATGGAGATTTAGTCACGTGACATCTTGTCTCAAGATACTCCACCTCCACATTCTTGTCATTGGTCCCCTAACATATTCAACCTCATGACTCACCACCTCTTTACACCGATCAGAAGGTGAACAGTCTCTTCAAATATCAAATCAAATGAACTACCAGTCAGCCAGCATTCTTTCCCATATGATTTCTTAACAAATAGAAAGTGCTTGTTTTTATTGGATGCCCCTATGGTTTACATACTGGATGTTTGATCGCTGCAGTGTCTGAGAGATCTGTCTTTAATTTCTGTGCAGCCCCAAGTAATCCTGGAGAGTTGACAAGCCTATTTACCCACCCATCCTTTACGCACTTCTCAAAGCCTCTGCCAGTTATATCTCCCAACTTCTGCCCTTCAGTTCTCTGACTCTGGTCTCCCATGCACCTGTCTACAACTCTGCCACTTGATTGTGGCAAGGTTTGTCATCATCTTGACAAGATGTTCCTAACAGGCCCTCCTGAAATCCCTTCCCCAAATTATAATGCCTGCTCATCTTTATGTTGGACATTGGGTTTATCTCCTGCCTTTGCTTTTTCACTGCTAATTTGTGTGTCGGCAGAAGAGTCTTTTTTTGGTGTTAGCCCTGGTTCAGCCCACTCTGAAAAGCCAAGTACAAGAGGGCTGACATTCTCAGTACAGCACTGGGAGACTGCTTTAGTGTGGGAGTGCCAATGTTTGGACAGGATATTAAAGTGACACCCTGCTTGCCCTTTCGAGTGGATGTAAAAGATCCCGCAGAACAATTCAAGGATCTTCCATGCACAAACTGATTGCTGTGTCTGTTCACAAATCCCTTACCAATTAATTCATCGTGCCTTAAGTGCTTTGGGACCGTTATGACAAGTTTGATAAAGGCGCTGTCTAAATCACTGACTTTATTGAGCAAAATGAAAGCTACTGGTAGAACTAACTCCCCTCAACAGCCTGGAAGTCAATCCATTCAAAAGCAAAATTATTTTGGGAGGCAATTTGAGATATCACGGGCGCGTACTGCATGCCTGGGGGAATAAGCTGACTGTGCACTTATGGTTCCCCAGGCTTTATACCACTTGGAGTTTGTCATTTCTGGGCCTGTAGTATAAAGAAAGAGTTTGACTTAGATCAGAACCTTTCAAGATGTTTTGAAGCATTTTGCAGTCAATGATGTAGCTTTCAAGTCTAAGAAGGGTATAGAATGCACTGACTGGAAGTGTAGTGGAGGCAGATAAATTTGAGGCATTCAAGAGGGCATTGGATGGTTATTTGAATGAAATGGTATGCAAGGATATGGTGATAAAACAGGAGACTGGTACTAGTTTATGATGTCCGTTTGAAGGGCACAATAGACTAAATGGCCTCATTCTACACCATAACACTTCTGTGACCCTATAATCATTGCTATAATGTATTGTTTTTGGTGAAGCTTTTCAGAGATGTTATGACAGACCTGAGTGGGAGGTGGGACTTGAGCCTTCTGGTCCAGAGGTAGAAGCTTTGCCACAAGACCCTTAAACTGTTGCATCGCAAGTCACAAATAATTATAGGACAGGGTGGCATTGGGTAACTGGTAATTCAGGCTAATATTGTGGTTTGGACAGCTCAAATCCTTCCACAGCAGCTGGTGAAATTTGAATTCAATTAATGAATATGGGGTTGAAAGTTAGGTCCAGTGAAAATTAAACTACCATTGATTGTTATAAATGTCCATCCAATTCACCAATGCCTTTTAGGGGAGGAAATCTGCCCCTTACCTGATCTGGCCTACAAGTGAGTCCAGACCCACAGCAATGTGACTGACTCTTATCTGCCCTCTGAAATGGGCTCAGCAGGGCTAGTGAAACATTTGGAATTCTTAAAAGGTTTGACAGGGTGAATGCTGAGAGGATGCCCCCACTCATGGGAGAGTGTAAAATCAGAGGGCAGAGTCTCAGAATAAAGGGGAAAGGAAATGACGTGGAATTTCTTCTCTCACAGGGTTAGGAGTCTTTGAACTCCTTGCCACAGAGAGCTGTGGGGGCATAGTCCTTGTGTATGGTTAAGGCTGAGATGGATAGATAGACACTTAATTAGATGGGGAATCCAGGGGAAAGGGCAGGAAAGTGAATGTGAGCCATGATCCTATTGAATGTTTTAGTGGGCCAAGGGCCTGAAGGGCCTACTCCTGTTCCTGTTTCTTTAGGACTTCTGGGTAATGAATGCTGGCCTTGCCAGCAACATCCACATCCCATGGAAAGAATTAATAAGATCCTGGTTGCAGTGGCTGCTCAACAACACCAACTTCATTGGATTATGCAATTACCAGGTAGAAGATAAAAAGAGGCGGTCTTTGGTTTTTCTCTAACTCCTAATTTTCTTACGTCAGCCAGAAGTAGCCCGCAGCCAAGATATGTCATCCTGCTCAGAATAACACAAATTAGAAAGGGCAAATCTGGCTACAAGTCAATTAGAGTCTGGCTGCATTTACTGAAATGTCTGCCAAGCTGCCTAATATTGTCCAGTGAAAACAGTCACAAAATAACACAAATTAGAATGGGCGAATGTGGCTTCAAGCCAGTGAAGGTCTTCAGAGTCCCAGGAGTCTACGGACTCACCATATGAAACAACCATTGAATAAAGCAGCAGGGGACGAGACCATTCGGGCCACTATGTCTTGCCTAGCTCATTAACAGGATGGCTTTGTCAATCTCGCAAGTATTTATTCAATTCTTCTTTGAATGTGACCGCTGAATCTGCTTCCATTGCTTTGTCAGACAGCACATTCCAGATTTCGTGTTAATACAACACCAAACTACTTCTGTGTAATAAGTGATTGCAACTTAAATGAGAAATGTCAGAGGCAGCCAACAGCCTAATAATGGTCAGCCTTGCACTCGCTAACTCACCGCTTAAAAAAATATATATAAATCAAAAGCAGAGCCATGGTAGAAATGGGCAGCAAACTGAAGGCGATCACATGACAAGAGAGGCTCATTTCAGAGGTACAAGCTGTCTGCAGTATTCAGGTGGGAAGCTCTGCTGAGATCTGCATCTGGATTGATGAAATCCAGATGTTAGCAGCTGCTACAGAGAGATAGAGAGAGAGGGCTGGGGGATATTTATCCATGCTGCCTTTCTCTCCCCTCTCCTATAGAAATGGGATCAACCCAGTTCACTCCTTGGGCATATTAAAGGGAGCTTTCCCCCTGTTCAAGCACTAGACCATCCAGTGTGGATTTCTGGCACTTTTCCAACAATTGACTTTTTTTTTGGAAAAATAAGTTTAAATCTTCACCATACCCCCAGCACCAGCCACTCCTGAGACACATATGTACAAAGGTTTGATCTCCTGGAGACTATCCATGCTCAGTTGCAGTATCTCAGAACTGGCACTGTTAAACTGGGCAGTTATCAGTCATACAAGTAAGTGCCCTGCAATCACAACTTAGTCAAAGACCACAGCTCATTAAACCAAAGCCAGATATTGCTGGAGAAACTCAGTTCTGGCAGCATCTGCGCAGAGAAAGCAGAGTGGTCTTTGGAGTCTGGTGAACCACAGCTCCCCCCACCCAACCCCCAACCCCCGCTGTTTTGAAGGAGAGACTCAAATCTGTTAAATGCTGCTTTCTCTCCACACATGCTGCCAGACCTGCTGAGTTCCTCCAGCCATTGCCGAGTTTGTATCAGATTTCCAGCATCCGCAATTCTTCGTTTTAGTTTAGTTGTTTAAGCCAATGTGTACACAATGACTAAAGGGAAGAGTGCCTCGGTGGGACTGATCAATTTTATAACTAAAATAGAAAGGCAGGAATGAAACCTCTTCAAAAATAGACTTACAGTTCTAGCCAATGTGCCCATTTGCCAATCAATCATCGATGCAAACCATCCACTGACACTAGTGCCTTAACCACTTGCATCTCAACTCGCTTGATGCACAGCTGATTAAATCACTTGAATGCAGCACAAAAGATGCTACTGTCTTGATAAATCAGACTAAATAAATCGCTTCGCAACAACTGGCAATATTCTTGAAATTCAATCGTAAGAACTCAAACCTCTAAGATTCAAAATCAGGGAATGACTTGATTCTGTTTTTTAAAAAAAGAATTGCCCTTAATGATAGCTTTTGATTTTCCAAATACATTACTATATCTAGAATTAAATAGCTACATACCCTTGTAGGACAGCCGAAGTCTGGGAATATTCATTTTAGCGCTCACATTCTGTACATCAGTAACGTTGAAGAGGAGTAGGAGGCTGCTCAGCGTTTGTGTCAGAAAGAATGAACACTTCATTTTTGTTTGTTGTCAGTTTTAAACAGTTCCAAAGTGACACCTTTACTGGATTGGTTCTTTTGTTGTTGCTGGCAAGCCTTCCTTTTTGTGTTGAAATCTCTCAAAATCCTGGCAGGTGGTGAATTTAGGAACAGAGAGACAGTATCAGAAAAGACCGGCGGAATGGTCACCTCCGCCCTCTTAAGAGATTGCAGGGTTTAGACTTAAGCGCAGGCACTGCCGCTGCTCTCAGTCTGTGTTGGTCTTAGCGAGAGAAGGCGCTTCTCATGGGCTTTATATCCACGGTGCCCCTCCTCATCCCTCCACCCAGGGTCACGCCTCCCTGAGGCTCCAAAGAAGCCGATCTGCAGCACACTAAAGCCGGCAGCTGTCAGCAGGAATATCCTCCCTGATCCGGCGTTTCTGTTCTCATTAACCCTCTCAAGAAAGTCCCCTCTTTCTTAAAACTTGCAAATACATTTAAAGAGAGAGAGAAAAAGGAAAGCAGCGAGATATAATTCCATACCTATGTAAAAATTTATTGGGGGGTGGCTGGGGCTGGGGGAGATTGGAAATTGTTTGGAAGAAAGGTGAAGCTTAAAATAAACAGGAGTGTGTTTAAAAAAATCTCACAAGAGCACTAGCCCTGTGGCTGAGCGTCCGGACTTTTAACGCGATTGGGAATCGATTGCTGTCGCCAATATCATCCCTTTGAGTAATAAGGTCTATGCTTCAGGAACAAGGGAAGCATTTGTCAGGATTTGGAAAAATGCAGGGTTTTAAGTGGTTGGATAAGTCATGGATGAGTTTCTGGTCCATTTTGTATTGCAAACCCAAGCTTCAGTGTGAAGCCCTAATGTAAAATATACCTTTAAACCCTGGGGAAATCCAGGACCTTTTTTTGGTTGATTTGAAGTCATTACATTCTTGGGCTCCAACTGAACAAGGTTGGCAACTGCCAAAGTTTTTTTTAATTCATCCACAGAATGGGGACATCATTAACAACAAAAACAGAAATTACTGGAAAAGTTCAGCAGGTCTGACAGCATCTGTGAAAGAAAAAACAGTTAATGTTTTGGGTCTGGTGACCCTTCCTCAGACCTGGCTGGGCTGGCACTTATTACCCATCTTTAATTGCCCAGAGGGTAGTTAAGAGTCAACCACATTAGTGGGTCTGGAGTCACATGTAGGTAAAGATGGCAGATTTCCTTCCCTAAGGTACACTGATGAACCAGATGGGATTTTCCTCAACAACGGATTCATTGTCATCATTAGACCTTGAATTCCAGATATTTATTGAATTCAAATCCCATCATCTGCTGTGGTGGGATTCAAATCTGGGTCCCCATACAATACCCTGGGTCTCTTGAGTAACAGTCCAGTGATGATACCACAAGGCCACTGTCTCCCTTTAAGGGCTATGACTATAACTTTTTATTCATTCATATAAGGGAAATGGGTTTTGTTGGCGAGACCAATATTTTTTACTCATCCCTACTCGCCCTAGAGAAGGTGATGGTGAGCAGCCCCCTTGAACTGCTGCGATCCTGAGGGAATAGGGTCACACACAATGCCATCAGGAAGGGTGTACTGGGATTTTGTCCAATTGACAGTGAGGGAAAGATGATGTGTTTCCAAGTGTGTAGTTTGGAGGGGAATTTGCAGTGTCCCCATGCGTCTGCTGCCCTTGTCTTCCTAGGAGGCAGAGACCACAGATTTGGAAAATACTGAAGACGGCTGCATGAGGGAGGAGCCTACACATAGTGCTTCGCTCTGTTATGACCTTCCACACAGTCTTCGTTTAGATGCTCAACCAAAGGGATGTGGACTCAAGTCCCACCCCAAGATGTGGACATTAATTCCAAACAAAGGCTTTATTAATCCTCTGTGATGGAATTTAAAGAATCCTGTGGCATCATTCAACAAAAAAACACAGGAGCCCAGATGGCCTGGCCAATAGTTAATCTATGTTTGGTATCATTAAAACTGCTTGTCTGGACATTGGTGCCATTGCAATCAGTGGGAACTTGCTGTGTACAAATTGGTAGTTGTGTTTCCATACAACACTGATTGCACTTCAAAAACGTTTCACTGTCTGTGAAGGGCTCTGCACTGTCCTAGCACTATATAAATGCAAGTTACATCTTGTCTACCTTTCCACAAGCTCTACGGTATATGAAGCAGCCTAACAGCTAACAGATGTTTGAGTCTTTATCCCTACCTCTCTGATCATTCTTCCTCCCCGATCACTGACAGGACATTCCTCCAATTCAACATTTGATCGAATCATGGAGTTGAGATCACATCTAGATCAGTCATGATCTCATTGAATGGCAAAGCAGGTATGAATGTCTGAATGATCTATTCCTGCTCCAATCTCCCTATACCCTCGGCTGGGGGCAATTAACACTGAACCAAGCTGTCAGGAAACGGAGAGGTTTGGGTGCGATACTGGTTTTGTCTCCAGACCAAATTTGATCTCTAGCACAGAGAATTCCAACATTCCACTCAACGGATGAGTCAGGTTAAAATTTCCTCCATGAGAACCTATGATACAGAAACAGGCCCATTTGCTCATTGTGCCTATGCTGGTTCTTAAAGAGCAAACAAATAAATTCCACTCCCCATGCTCTTTCCCCATTGTCCTGTTTAGATACACTACCCTCTTTTGAAAGTTATTACTAAATGTGTTTACGTGACCAGTACAGTTCCAGATCCAGAAAAACTCACATTATAAAAAGAGTCATCACTCACTCCCCTGCATCTCCGAGTTGCCTCAGATCCCAGAAAAACCTTCTGTTAAAAAAAATACTCCATTGGAGGGTCAGGATTTTCAGAGTACTTCCATGAGCTCTCATCATCGTCAAATCTACTTCCATATTTTAATGACAGATTTTGAGGCAGACCGCTTGTGTAACTGAATATTCCGACCCCCTTCTCCACTTCTCTCTAAACATGTTAAAACCAACAGCTATTTTAAGCTTGATGGTTCATGTCATATCTGGGCAGCAACAACTTAATTTTCCACAACAACTTTACAACAGAATCTGGAGATATGTAGTGGTTTTTGTGACCTCAGGATCTCCCGTGCCGTGCAATCAGTTAAATGCTTTCCGACTGCAATCTGTCTTGTGATACAGAGAAAAATACAGCTGCTAACTTACAAACAGCACAGTCCCACAAACAACAATGTCATTGCAGCTTTATAAGACTCCGGTTAGGCCACACTTAGAGTATTGCGTTCAATTCTGGTTGCCACATTACAGGAAGGATGTGGAGGCTTTGAAGAGGGTGCAGAAAAGGTTTACCAGGATGCTGCCTGAATTAGAGGGTATGAGCTATAAGGAAAGGCTAGAAAAACTCAGGTTGTTTTCTCTGGAGCGGCGGAGGGTGAGGGGAAACTCAATAGAAGTCTATAAAATTATGAGAGGCATCGATAGGGTTGACAATCAGAATCTTTATCCCAGTGTTGAAATGTCTAAAACTAGGGGTGTGCGTTTAAGGTGAGAGGGGGAATGTTCAAACGAGATGTGAGGGGCAAGGTTTTTATACAGAGAGTGTGAAACGCACTCCCAGGGGTGGTGGTGGAGACAGATACGATAGGAATGTTTAAGGGGCTTTTAGATAACCACATGAATATGCAAGGAATGGAAGGATATGGACCAAGGGCAGGCAGGAGGGATTAGTTTAATTTGGTGTCACGGTTGGCACAACATCGTGGGCCAAAGGATCCATTTCTGTGTTGTACTGTTCTATGTTCTATATTCTGTGTTCTATACAGTCATGGAGATGTACAGCACGGAAACAGACCCTTTGGTCCAACTTGTCCATGCCGACCAGATACCCTAAATTAATCTAGTCTTATTTGCCAGCATTTGGCCAATATCCCTCTAAACGCTTCCTATTCATGTACCCATCCAGATGCCTTGTAAATGTTGTAATTGTACCAGCCTCCACCACTTCCTCTGGCAGCTTAATCCATACACACACCGCCCTCTGAGTGCAAAAGTTGCCCCTTAGGTCCCTTTTAAATCTTTTCCCGCTCACCTTAAACCTATGCCCTCTGGTTTTGGACTCCCCTGCCCTGGGAAAAAAACTTTGTCTATTCACCGTATCCATGTCCCTCATGATTTTATAAACCTCTGTAAGGTCACCCTCAGCCTCCGACGCTCCAGGGAAAATAGCCCCAGCCTATTCAGCCTCTCACTATAGCTCAAACCCTCCAACCCTGGCAACATCCTTGTAAATCTTTTCTGCACCTTTTCAAATTTCACAACATCTTTCCAGACGATGGTCAGATCTTCATGACCAGAGCAGAATGAGGAGGAGGACATGGCTGAGATGTATAAAATTATGAGGGATATATAGATAGGATAGGCAGGAAGGAACTTTTCCCCTTCGTGGATATCAATGACCATGGGAACAAAGACGTAAGGTAACGGGCAGAGGTTTTGAGGAGCTGTGCAAATATTTTCTCACCCATAGGGTGGTGGGAATCCAGAACTCACTGCTGTAAAGGTGGTAGAGACAGAAGCCCTGATAACATTTAAGAAATATTTAGATATGCATTTCCCCATGTCAAGGCATACGAGGCTCAGGGCCAAGTGCTGGGAAGTGGGATTAGAATAGTTAGGTCAGAGACTAAAACAGAAATTGCTAGAAAGGCCCACTCAGTCTGGCAGCACCAGTAGATAGAAATCAGAGTTAATGTTTCGGTTTGGTGACCCTTCCTCAGAATGCAGACCCACTGAGCCTTTCCAGCAACCTGTGTTTTTGTTTCTGATTTCCAGCATCCACAGTTCTTTCGGTTTTTATTAGAATAGTGAGGCAGCTGTTTTCCACTGACGCAGACCTGATGGGCTGAAGGGCCTGTGCTGTGTGATCTCTGTGACTCATCCGTTTGGTTTCAATTGCGGGACAATTATTGGACAGGGCATCAGAGAGGTCTTCACTGCTATCTTTTGAAAAGCAGCATGGGATCTTCTGCATTTAACCCAGAGGGCAGATGAGGCCTCAGTTTGCTGTCTTATCTGAAGCATGGCACCTTCAACAGTGCAGCACTCCCTTAGTACAACACTAGAATCCGTCCCCTGCTTTCTAGATGTATCCACACATCTAACTCAGCCAGAGCTTGTCATTCCCATTGTAAATGTCACAATGCTTCAAGTGGTGAGAAAGTAAAAGGGGAAAAGAGATGACCTGAGGCACAGTTGTAAGGTCAGGTTTTATGAAGGTATTGACAAACAG